GACTTTCTTTCCCTTTCTCCCCTTTCTTTCTGTGGTACTCAAACTTAGGGCTTCTTGCATGTAACCACTAAGCTACACTCAGTGGTAAAGTCCTTTTTTTGGTAACAGGAATTGAACCCAGGTGTGCTTAACTACTGAGCCACATCCTTAGCCCTTTTTTTCTATTTTTAATTTTTTAAAAAATTTTAAGTTGTAGATGGATACAATACCTTTATTTTATTTATTTATTTTTATGTGGTGCTGAGGATTAAACCCAGTGCCTCACACGTGCTAGGTGAGCCCTCTACCACTGAGCCACAACTCTGTTTTTTAATTTTGAGGAAGGGTTTTGCTAAGTTGCTTAGGGCTTCACTAAGTTGCTGAGGCTGGCCTTGAACTTGCCATCCTCCTGCCTCGGCCTCTGGAGCCACTGGGATTACAGATGTGTACCATCACATCTGGCTTTTTTTTTTTTTTTTAAGTTTTGAGACAGGATCTTACCAAATGGTTGAAGCTGGTTTCAAACTTGGGTTCCTTCTGCTGCCACAGCCTCTTGGAATGCACTACCATGCCCAGCTACACACCGAATTTTTTTAAGCACTTGCTCTTCATGAGCCAAGTGCTGGACTCTGGGAGGCTCCCATGGGATACAGAATGCAGTGGGTCCTTCACACAGCATACTGCACCTTTCACGAAGTCTGTAATTGTGTCTTCATGTGAAGGTCCCCAGCACCTTGACAATAGTGTTGGGCCAACATGGGACTGCACAGCAAGGGAGGCTGATAGATGGTGGTTTGGCAATATACCTGCTTTTCCTTTTCTTGACAAATTAGATCTCTTCCCCCTGCTCTGATGGGGATACTGAAATAAGAAACACAGTAGCCAGGTATGGAGGCACAGGCCTGTAAACCCAGCCACTTGGAAGGCTGAAACAGGAGGATCTCAAGTTTAAGGCCAACCTTGGCAACTTAGAGAGATCCTGTCTCAAAATAAAGTAAGACAGCTGGCGAATGTAGGTCAGTGGTAGAATATTTGGCTAGCTTGCAGGAGGCCCTATGTTCAACCCCCAGCACTAAAAAGAAATAAAAAGGAAGAAAGAAAGAAACAAACAGTGGTATCCTTAGGAGATGACACACATCATGAGATCACCCAGTGAGTTTGTTTTTTCCTAAGTGACTAACAAAAGTGAAGGGATGGAAGGGTGTGGCTGGCCATGTTAAGGGTGCAATTAGCGGCCCCAGAGCATGAGCCAGGGGACACTGGCCCTACATGGGCTTGCAACGGATTGTACTCGAATGTGGTGCTGAGGATCGAACCCGGGCCGCACGCATGCCAGGCAAGCGCGCTATCACTTGAGCCACATCCCCAGCCCCTGTCCTGAGATCTAAAGAGAAGGATAAAGAAGGGAACTGGGGACCTCATACCCCTTCCCCCAAGACCAAGCAATGATGGTCCCCACTCATCATGACCACTGCCATCATTAAACACCTTCCTGCACATGGCTGTCCCTTCTATCATTTCTTCCTAGTACAAGCATCCATTAAACACTTGACACCTGCCAGATGCTGATTTACAGATATCAACTCCATACTCTTTGCCCACCACATACTTATAGACCACTGGGGAGACAAACTGAAAAAAAAAATACAGAGATACACCCAAAACAGCAAAAGATCCAGATAAAGGCTGCTACGTTTCCAGGGCTTCCAGCCTAACAAGCAGATACACAACACCACCCCACCTTCAAACACACAGTCACTGTGACTGGGAGCAAACATACAGACCATAAAGCAATACACATAGGGCGAATAAAAGAAACAGATTGTTTGGATGTCAAGGGTAAGTCTTCTTTTTATGGATATGGTGGAAGAATATGTCATGGGTACTCTTGCCCAGAACTGGGTGTGGTAAGAAAGAACTTTGGAAAAGGGCAGGGACTGCAGGAGTGAGAGACCTATGTGTCTGGCAGAACAACTGGGAGAAAGTGGGCATTAGGCTGAAGATAAGATAGAAATAGATGGGGTGGGGGGGTGGGGGGTAAGGACTTGTCACTAAGCAAGTGAGGCAGGCTGGGGTATAAGAGACGCAGAAACACATCACTGAGAACAGGAATGCAGGCTGGGGTGCCTGATAGCCCTAGGTTTGAATCCCAGTCCCACCAACACCGGCTGTGTCTTCTTGGACAAGTTACTTCACCAAGTTTTTGCTAATAATAGTACCCACATCACAAGGTGTTAAAAGGATCAAATTAGATAAGGTTTGTAAAACATTTAGATCTCCACTGGCATATGGCACATGGTTATCACTTAATAAGCAAGCTGACAACAACAGAAGACAGCAAAGCAGCTCTGTGTTTCCCTGTTGCAAAACTGGCCCAGCCTGGTAATGTCACCTCCCTGTGTGTGCTGTCCCTCCCTCAGTGTCTCACCTGCTCAATTAGCAGAGACTTGAGATATTCATGGTCAGAAGCCTCCTATATCCTCTCCCTGCTGGGGACAACAATGACCAAAGTCATCCCAAGTAGGCAGAGTCAATGTCCTGGAGGCCATATCACATATCTGCCCACAGTCCCTCAAGTCCCCTGAGGCCTTGGAGCAGTTCAGTAGGCTGTTGAAGGCCCAGGAACCTATGCTCTCTGGAGCAGTTCTCCTGAGTCAGCAGCTGAGAAGAACTGTTCTCAAACATCTTTCTGCTCCATGCCAGCCACCTCCGAAGCTGCAGGTGGGGACAAAGCGCAGGTGGTCTCTGCTTCCACCAACTCACCAAGCTGGGTCTTCTAGACCCACCCTCCCCTGCTCTTCCCCACTGGTTGGTTGAAGGAAGAGAGATGGCACCTTGAGGGTGAGGCAGTACCATGCTTCTGGGGTGTCCCAGAGAGCCTGAAGCACATAGTTGAAGCCCAGTGAGTGTTTGTTTAATCACAGGGGAGTGTGAGGAATTCCTACTGCCTGAGTCAGGACTCTGAGATAGGAGCCAAATTCCCATGACAGCCCTGAAGAGGCAGACCTTTAGTTCCTCCCTGTGAACTGTTCAGGGGAAGTCTTTCAACTTATTCTATACTAATAATGATTATATGTAATATCTTATATAGTTCATAAAGCATGCTAACACATATCTAAAGCTTATTATAAACTGTAAAGAGTTATGTACATCTGGTGTGTTTATTTAGTTAAGTCTCTAAACAGAAATATCCTGAGATAGGATAGGTGTTATCTCCACGATGAGGCAACTGTGGTTATTGGAGAGGTGTGGAAATTGTCAAGATTTCACTGGGTAGGAATCAAGGTCTTCCCACTGATCTACTGAGTTCAGTCCAAAATCTACTGAGCCCCAGGTGCTGCGCAGCAATGGTCAGAGGGCAGGAGGAGGGCAGCATTCACAAATGGCACACCCAGTTCTATGAGATCTTGGGGAATCTGTCATATCTCACCCTTTCCCCTCACTCTACCCATTTTTGGAGGATCTTGAGCCCTCCCTTGGCTTTGGCCACCATATGACCAAAGATCAGTCAGCTTCTGACTCATCAAGCTGTCTCTCCAGCCTGTCTGACTTCTCTGTACTTCAAAGTACAGGAGGTCCCCAGCAGTGCTAAGTCCACAAATTCAAAGCTAAAGGTCCCCTCTTACCTGCTCAGCATCCTGCATCCCTATCTCAGGTAGTAGAACTCCCACCCAGCACCGATGTGTCATCCTGGTGTCCCATGCCCCCAAAACTCAGCCAACCTATTGCCAAGTCCTGTCCATTTTCCTCCTAAACATGTCTCAAATCCTGTACTTCTCCTCTTCCCTACATCTTCTGTCCCAGATCAGGCCCTAACCTCTGCAACCTCCTTTCAGTCTGTCTCCAGTTTTATTTCCCACTAATCCATCCTCCTTGCAACCAGTATGTGTATCCCCACCCCCAACCCTAAAACCCTTTAGTGGTTCCCTTCTGTCTGCAGGGGTGCAGTCTAAGTTCCTGAATGAGGCTCCCTTTGGTACAGCCCTTCCACTTTTATGGCCTCCTCTCTATCCATTCCCTGCCTCAAATGTTTTACTGCACAGAGATTGGCCTGAGACCAGCCTTCTCTGTGAGACCTATGCAGTGCCATCTTGAAATTCTTCATAAAATTTTAACAAGGGCCTCTACATTTCTACTTTGTGTTGGGCCCCACAAGTTATGTTGCCATTCTTGCTTCCAGGATATCCCTCTTGCAGTTTGTGGCCTGTGAAGCTTGTGAACACCCTTCTCCACATCACCCCTCGTTCTACAGCTCTTCATTTAAGACTCATTGTAGGTGTTCTCCACCCCCCACCCCTGTACTGGCGATTGAACCCAGAGGCACTGAACCCAGAGGCACCATACCACTGAGCTACATCCCCAGTCCTTTCTATATTTTATTTTGAGACTGGGTCTTATTAAATTGCCCAGGCTGGCCCCGAATGCGCCACCACTCCTACCCTAGGTGTTATCTTTAGGATGTCTCCCTGATCTTCCCTCTTCTCCCTTCCCTCCCTTAAAAGTCCAATAGAAGCAGGTGCTCAGCCCAAGTTTACTATCAGAAGGCAAAGAATGAGAAGTGTCAGAAGAGATCTACAAATTGCTGTAAACGGTAAGGTGAGGCAAGGAGGCAAGAAGGCATTTTCAACTGTCTCGGAAAATGTCGTCAGGAGGGCGCAGATACCCCTTCTGTACGTCCCTATCTGAGGACGCGTAGGTCAGTACAGAAGGGGTATCTGCGCCCTCCTTGGGAGGAAGGAACGGGGACCAGCTCTTGGGCGCCACCTGCTGTGGCCGCGTCGCCACTGCAGCCCTTTCCCTGCACCCCTTCCCTTGCGCTCTGCATCACTGAGCCCGCCTCACGCCTCCCATTGGCTGTCCCCTATTCTCCCGCCCTTTCTAGACTCAGCCATTCGGAGCCTCGGGGTGGACGGGGCTTGAAGCTGGGGATGACGCGTGCGCCCCGATTGGCTACGCGGAAGGCAGCTACGTGGCCGAAGTAGGCCCGTTTGCGCCTAAACTGAGAATTAGTTACACCAGCACTGGATTGGTGGTGGGGCGGGGCGGGGCGGGGTCTCCGGCCGGAAGCGGAAGTGGAGGAAGGATGCAGGTGTGGAGAAGAGGGTTGCGGTAACTGGGAACTGGCCCGGGACCCTTTTCCTGACTCTCTGATCTGTCTCCGGTGCTCAGCCTTTGCGGGCCCGTCGCTCTGGCCCTTCGGGGAGGCGGTTGGGACACTGAAATGAGTGCGCGCGGGGCGCGTCCCCTCCACGCGCTCAGGAGCCCCTCCCCGCCGTGTTTCCCACCAGGATCTTCAGCACTTACCCATCGACATCCAGACCAGCAAACTGCTCGGTAGGAGGGGGCGACCCCGCGTAGTCGGCTGTCGGGGGAGGCCTGCTACTTGCCCCCTGCCGCCAACAGCCAAGAGCTCTGAAATTGTGGGTTGAGGTGCTGACCGCCTACCTTATTCAATGACCAGACTAAGAGCAGCGGGGAAGAACCGCAGAGTGTCTGTACTTAACCAAGGTTTTCTACTTAAACATGTGTTATCAAATCATATTATTGAGTGACAGATGATCAGTTGTCAGTGGCAGATTTGAATTGAAACAAGTCTGTCTGGCTCAACAATGCCCTTTGCATTGTCGGGAAAAAACTTTACCATCTTTAAAAAACTTCCGTTTAGGTGTACACCACCAGCTACTCAGGAGGCCCGGGAGGTGGGGGGGAGAGAAGGATCACAAGTTAAAGGCCAGCCTGGGCAATTTAGCTATAACCTATTTCAAAATGAAAACTGAGAAGAGTCTAACTAGAGCATCCTAGGTTCAATTTTGGATTCCAATTTTTTTTTTTTTAAAAGCTTTCCCCAGGCGCAGTGGTGCATGCTTATAATCCCAGCGGCTCCGGAGGCTGAAGCAGGAGGATCCTGAATTTAAAGCCAGCCTCAAGGGGCTAGGGTTGTGGCAGTAGGCGAGGCCCTGGGTTCAATCCTCAGCACCACATAAAAATAAATAACTAAAATCAAGGTATTGTGTCCAACTACAACAAAAAATGAATATTAAATAAATTTTTTTTAAAAAGCCAGCCTCAGCAAAAGCAAGGCACTAAGTAACTCTGGGAGATCCTGTCTCTAAATAAAATATAAAATAGGGCTGGGCATGTGGCTCAGTGGTTGAGCACCCCTGAGTTCAAACCATGATATTCCCCCCCCCAAAAAAAAGCTTCCATCTCCCCTTGATTTTAGAGAGAAAAGGGACTTCAAATTCAGTTGGAAATAGAAATCTTATCTCCCCACCCTCCCCTTTTATGAGGATTGAACCTAGGGCCCAGTAGGTGTTAGGCAGGCACTGTACTACTGACCTACATCCCTAGCACTTTTTGTTTTGTTGTGAGACTGGGTCTTCCTAAGTTGCACAGGCTAGCCTCCAGCTTCTGCCTCAGCCTCTCAAGTAACTGGGATTACAGACACAGTACAACCAAGACCAGTGAAAGTAAGTAGAGATCTTTTAGTGGCCAGACCACCTCTATCTGGTCTACATACCTCCTCACCAGTTCAAAACCAAGGAAAGACCTCTTCATTCTGACCATCTCAGGGCATATGTACAGTCCTGGCATTTAAAAATATTCATTGGACTCATCAATTTAATGCCAACTTGCCATGAAGATAATCAAACACAGCCCTCTGCTCCTCATTTTATGACATCTATGAATTTATGTTTTTTTTTGGGGGGGGGGGGACAGGGTCTTGCTGAGTTGCTCAGTGCCTCACTAAGTTGTTGAGGCTGACTTTGAACTTGAGATCCTCCTGCCCCAGCCTCCCAAGCCTCTGGGATTGCAGGCATGTCCCACCATGCCCAGTGATGAGATTTTTCTTTATAAAAATTTTAGAGGAACACAGGAGAGGGAATATTACTGATACTGGAATGGGATCATAGTTTTTGACCAGTTGACAGATTTGTTAGCAAAAGGCCATGGTTCTAAATTCGTCACTATGTGGGGCCATTTAGGGGGCTAGGAATGTAACTCAGTGGTAAAGCACTGTATGGAGCCATTTAGTCCTGTGTGATGGCCACCAGTGGACCTTCTTTGGCCTTACTTCACACTTGTCCAGTTCTTCAGGCTCTGTGTGCTCAATGTTTGAATTTGTATTTGGAAATGAAAGAACCAGTAAATGAGCATTCACTGAGTTAGCTCTCTACCAGGTACTGTTTTATGTACTGGACATTAAAAAATGAAGGTCACATGGCTGGTTCTGGTGGTATGTAGTCCCAGCTACTTGGGAGGTTGAAGCAGAATCACAAGTTAAGAGGCCAATCTGGGCAACTTATGAGACCCTGTCTCAAAAAGGACTGGAATGTAGGTCAGTGGTCAAGCACCCCTGAGTTTAACCTCCAGCACCAAGAAAATAACCAGGACCATCTAATCACAAAACCTAGCTCTTAGAGTTCTCTTCTATTGAGGAAATGTGGAAATGTGCTTGGCTCTGAAACCACAAAACAGCCCAGACTCCTTGAGGTCAGTCACATTTATAGTCATGTGTTCAGGGTGGCACTTCATTGTGAAGAATAGAATAGTGTTATTTAGTCCTTGGGGCGCTGAAGGTATTAGGAGCTTTGTAGTTGTTCATTCATCCGGTTCTTGGCATAACTGCCTGTGTTTTACATTGTCATGGTTAATCCCAGCCCTGAGGACATGGAAGTTGAGCAGCATCCTCTGTCAACAAGAAAGATATAATTACCCTCAGAAGCAAAATATGGAGAATTTAGTGTGGTAAAAGTTGCACTTTCCTGTCAGGACCAATTTAAAGGTTTGCTTTATTTCTGTGTTGAGGCAGTTGCTCTATAAAAATCACTGAGGATAAAGACAGGCCACCAGAGTCTGTCTAGCCCCAAACCTTTCTTTGGATCTTTCTTCTCATCTTCCCATACCTTAAACAATACAAAGACAACTTTTAGTTAGTTTCTCAGTGTGTTAAGCTTGAAATAGTGATGGCATTTAGGTGGTATGAAGGTATGCTGTGATTTGGGTGTTTCTCGTGCAGACTGGCTCGTGGACAGAAGGCACTGCAACCTGAAATGGCAGAGTCTGGTGTTGACGATTCGAGAGAAGATCAATGCTGCCATCCAGGACATGCCAGAGAGCGAAGAGATCGCCCAGCTGCTCTCTGGGTCCTGTGAGTGCGCTGCGGCTATGTTGCCTGAGTTCATCGAATGATGAAGGGGGAGAGCTACATGGTGAAATTATCGGCAGTGTAGGACCCATGGATCAGCCACCTGCAAAGGCCAGAGGAGGTGGGAAGATGTTGTAATCCTATGTCCTCACTCCTCCTTGTCTTCCAGACATTCACTATTTCCACTGCCTGAGAATTGTGGACCTTCTCAAAGGCACTGAGGCTTCCACAAAAAACATTTTCGGCCGGTACTCTTCACAGCGGATGAAGGCAAGTGTGGCCAAGGGCTGGTAATGTGTGGCCCCAGTCCGTGAGGCTAGTGCCTCTCTAGTCTTTTTATAAAGATTTATAGACATGTCTACATAGATTATGTCCTGAACTTTCCCTCTGTCCTGTAGTTTATGCTAAAAGTATATCCTTCCCCTGGGCTTACATTTTCTGACCTTCCCCTTTGGGGATCACTTGTTAGCACCATGCTCTTAAAAGTATGTGGCTGGGTGTGGGGGCACACACCTATAATCCCAGCAAATCAGGAGGCTGAGGCAGGAGGATCGTAAGTCCCAGGCCAGCCTTGGCAATTTAACAAGACTCCATCTCAAAATAAAAAGACCTGGTGATATAACTCAGTAGTAGAGTTCCCTGGGTTCAATCCCCAGTACCCCCCCAACACACATACACACAAAACACCCATATGGTCTAGCCAGCATTAGTTTCTGAAGAAGGCAAGGATGTTGTGTCTAATGAAAAGGCTGGAAGAGCCTCCCCTGTCCAGGGAGTGAACTGTGAGGTGACTGCTGAGTCTGGCTGACCTACTCTTTCTGTTCTACTCAGGATTGGCAAGAAATCGTATCCCTGTATGAGAAGGACAATACCTACTTAGGTAAAGTGGCCCTAAAGTAGCCCAGGCATCCACGGGGAGGCCCCCTCCCAGAGTTCTGAGGACACCAGGCTTATAGAAGACACAGTTTATGGCGGGGAGAGACTGGAGTGTAGATGTTGCCTATTTGTAGGTGGGAAAATCAATTCCACAAAGTGCTAGGTCAGGAGGAGGATTGGGCAAGTAATGGGCATTTGTAGCCTGACTGAGCAAGTGCCTGACCTGCTTTCCCTCCCTTGGTAAGATGGGGTGTGCTTCCCCCCACCCTCTTTGAACCCTATTCAATGCTAGGCTGAAGAGGCATGGGTCATATTGGGTGCCTGAGAGAACAACTAAAGGGTCAGATGTACTTTAGGTTGTGTTTTTGAATAGTGTAAATAATCATAACAGCTACTTTTTACTAAGCGTCTACTAAACGCAGGGAATTGTGCTTGGGGTTTCATATGGATTTGCATGGTAAATATTGTCCCTGTTTCACAATTGAGAGTTGGAGTAGAGAGGCTACTTAACTCATCTCAGGTTCCACAATAGGGAAGGGGGTGCTAGGGAGTCAATCCCTGCTCCTAACCCATCATGCTAGGGCATCTTTGTGTGCATCCTTGGGCATACTTGCCTTAGGGTGTGGGTGTCCTGGGGTGAATTTCCTGGATCCTCCTCAGTGGAACTTTCTAGTCTCCTGGTTCGGAATGTCAACTATGAGATCCCCTCGCTGAAGAAGCAGATTGCTAAGTGCCAGCAGTTGCAACAAGAATACAGCCGCAAAGAAGAGGAGGGCCAGGCGGGGGCTGCTGAGATGCGTGAGCAGTTCTATCATTCCTGCAAACAGTATGGCATCACGGTGAGCAGGCGTTGTGGTTGAATGGACATCTGGGTGCCTTGTCACAGTGGGAGGATGCCTGAGCCCTGCTCCTCTGCTGCCAGTAAAGACTTCCTTCTTGGCTGGGTTGTGCCCCAGTGTCTTACCTGTCTCTAGTCTTTAGCCTGTTAGACTCTTCCTTCTGCCACATCTGCCTTGGCTCCCCTTCTCTCCCCTCTCTAGGGAGACAATGTCCGAAGAGAATTGCTGGCCCTGGTGAAGGACCTGCCAAGTCAGCTGACTGAGATTGGGGCAGGGGCTCAGTCCCTGGGGGAAGCCATCGACCTGTACCAGGCCTGTGTAGAGTTTGTGTGTGAAAGGTAAAAAGGACTTCAAGCTTCTCTGTAGCAGGGATAGTTTGCCTGTTCTCCTGTCTCTTTTCCCTTCTCCATGCATGTTTTTCCCACATGATATGTAAGCAATATTGTACATACTTGAATCAGTGGGAGTCTTGCCCATTTGACCATGTGACCCAGGCTAGAGCCCAGTGTTGGCTTCCCAAGTGGTTAGTAGGAGGGTCAGTTGTGTGCTTTATTGAAGCCCCACAGAGCAGGTGTTGCCGATGCTGCGGTACGTGCAGAAACGGGGAAACTCAACTGTGTATGAATGGAGGACGGGAACAGAGCCGTCTGTGGTAGAGCGGCCACGCCTGGAAGAGCCTCCTGAGCAATTGGAAGAAGATGCGGTAAGATAGGCCTCATTAGGAGCTGAGTGAGTGCTCTTTGCCCCATCAGCACACACTCTAAACTCTGACCTGAATTCAGAGTTCTAGAGTGAATGGGGGTATTGTTTTGATGTTAGGGGTTGAACCCAGACATCCCCAGCCCTTTTCAATTTTTTATTTTGAGACTGAGGCTCATGAGTTTCCTAGGATCTTGCCAAGTTGTAGAGGCTGACCTCAAACTTAAAATCCTCCTGCCTCAGCATCCTGAGTTGCTGGAATTACAGGTGTGCACCACCACACCTAGCATAAAGGAGGTTCTTGTGAGCAAAACTATTGGAAGGAAGATCTAGAAGACTCTGTTCCTTTACTTTTCTGGCCTTCTTACTACCAGAGTACAGAAAAGTGCTAAAGAACATCAGTAGGCTGGCTTTTGTTGAACGAGGAGCCCTTCAATCACTTGAGCTCTCTGAAGATGACTTTCTTCTGGGAACTTGGAGCCTATTGCATTTGAATGTGTCCTCCCTATAAAAGCAGCTAAGGCCCGTGGGAAAGCAAGCCCCCTTCCTTTTCGTTTTACACGTCTTATTTGAGCTAACACTTTTTTGCCTTCTAGATTGACTGGGGCGACTTTGGGATGGAGACAGTTTCCAATGCAGGCATCTCTGCTGAAGCCTCTGGAATCGACTGGGGCATCTCCCTGGAATCTGAGTCAAAGGTTAGGACATCCTCCCAGTCCTTCTCTTTGAGGACTTTATGTGGTCCGGCTTCAGCCATAGAAAAGTGTTGTCTGTGTCTGTAAAGGCTTCAATCCAAGTTCACAACCCCAAGGCCAGGTGCAGTCTAAGGAAGGTAGTTTCAGAAGTGACATGTCAGAGTTTGGACCTCCTTTCTCTTGTGGTTTGGAGCAAGAGGTGGGGGTAAAGGCAGGTGGGAACCTGAAAAATGGGGATAAGGGTGACAACATAACTGGGCCCATACTTGCCATCTTTGTCACCTACCTCAGGGTTGTAGACTTTAATGCAATTGGAGTTTTCAGTCATTGAACTTTTCAAAGCCTTTTGTCTCTTCCGGCCCCTTGGGCTTGGGGAAATTCTCCCAACATTGGGTTCTTTGCTCTCCATCCAGGATGCTGGAGTTGAGGGGATAGACTGGGGAGATGATGCTACTGCTTTGCAGATCACAGTGCTTGAAGCAGGAACCCAGGGTAAGTGCTCCATCCCTGCAGCCCTGGCAAGAGTGGGGTGCTCAAGGACCCCCGAGTCTAGGCACAAAGAAAAATAATACTGTTGAAATTCAGCTTCTTGCACATTTAACTGTTTCTCAAAATCTTGAGGATGTCAGTGGAGGGAAACACAGGAAATTTGTTGAACTATTTAGAAACTCTCGAACTTTCTAGAGACTGAATGTGGGTCACCTGTACTGATAGCGGGGACTCAAGGGGACCAGCTTGGTCCTGAAGTCTGATCACCAGCAGAGAGACTGTAGCAGTGACCAGAGCCACTAGAGGGCAGTGCAGGACGACACTTTACCTCCCACTGCCCGGCTTAGTGCTCCTTGAAATCCAGTTCTGTGGTTCTCCCGGCAGGATGAGGGTTAGCGCAGGAAGGCCTGACTAGGCCTGAGACACCTGGGGAAGGTTAACCTTTCCCCTTGGGGAAGTGCCTTTAGTGCAGTGAGTCTGTCCATGGTAATCTGTCAGGGCTTCTCAAACTTTAAGGTGTATCTTTTTCTTCCCCAGTCCTGTGATCCTTCCTCACTTCTCTCCCTCTCTTCCTGGCAGCTCCAGAAGGTGTTGCTAGAGGCCCAGATGCTCTGACACTTCTTGAATACCCTGAGACCCGGAATCAGTTCATTGATGAGCTCATGGAGGTACTGTCACCTGGGGGATGTGGGGAGGCCTTGCTTCAGCACAGGTGGCATCATTCCTGACCCCTGGCCTGACCTGACCCTATTCACGTGAGGGATGCTGAGTGCCTTCCATGTCCTGGAATAGGAGCCTAATGTATTAGGATGCCCCCATTCATTTCAGCTCCATGTTTCTCATACACCTCCAGAGTGTCTGGCACTGTCTTAAACATCCAGAGCTTGAGCAATGAACAAGACAAAGTCCTTGTTCTCATGGAACTTATGTTCTAGCAGGAAAGCAGATAAGAAACAGATAAGTATGCAGTTTATGTTAGATACTACTAAGTAACACAAAGAAAGCAGGGGAGGGAGACAAACGTATTGTTGGGCAGGACTGTGGTTTATATCTGGGGATCAAGGAAGTGTCATTGAGAAGGTGACTACAAGTCATGACTGTAGGCAATTTTGACATGCAGGTATCTGACAGAAGGGCTTTCTAGGCAGAGAGAACCACTATAAAGGCCCAGAAGTGGAAGCGTGCTTTGTACATTTGAGCAGCAACAGGGAGGCCATGTGGCTGAGCAGAGGGCCCTGGGTTTGGGGAATGAAAGAACAGCTCAGAGATGTAGAGTCAGAACTGTGGTTTGACTTCATGAGCTGGGAAGCTGTCGGAGGTTTTGAGCAGGTTGGGAACCACATAATATCTTGTGCTGGGTGGTGGCTCACAACCATAATCCCAATAGCTTGGGAGACTGAGACAGGAGGATCTCAAATTCAAGGCCAGCCTGGGCAACTTAGCAAGATCCTGTCTCAAAATAAAAGAAAATAAGAAAGGACTGGGGATGTAGAGCTCAGTGGCAGAGTGCTCCTGGGTGCAATCCTTAGTACCACAAAAACAACTCCATCTCATTTAAGTTGAAATACAGGGCTGGGGATGTGGCTCAAGTGGTAGCGCGCTCGTCTGGCATGCGTGCGGCCCGGGTTCGATCCTCAGCACCACATACCAACAAAGATGTTGTGTCCACCGAGAACTAAAAAATAAATATTAAAAAAAAATTAAAAAAAAAAAAGTTGAAATACAATTCCTGTGGCTGAGGTTTTGGCAGCCCCAATAAGAAGCTGGTGTTCTCGGCTGCCCTTTTGTTATAGGATTGGAAAGATGGGGTCTATCCTTCTGAGTGGACTGCAGGTTGGGGGAGACCCTCCTGAAAGATCTCAACCCTCACTGGGTTCTGTCTTTCTCCCCAGAGAGGCTTTTCTTAGCCTCAAGGGATAAGCAGGACAAACGGTATTGAGATTTTATAGCAGAATAAGACTGAATAGATATGGCCCTCATATTCTTTCTGGCCTTGTGTTAATCCAGGGTTTCTCAAACATGGATTCCTATTCCCTGAATCTCATTCCCCTCATGAAGAGAAAATAAATACCTTCACTAGGATGGAGAAAACCTTTGAATCTCTTCATTCTCATTATCTGAGCCACAGGCTAGGGAGAAAAGATGGAAGTCTAGAGCTGGACTGGCCTGAGGTCAGAATGGGGGACCGCAGAATGATGGTGGAGGTTGCTGCACACTCTTACATTGCAGTTGTTGAGTTTCTAGCCATGAACATGTTCAGTGATAACTGCCTCACCCAAAGTCCAGCCCTCACTGCTCCTTCTCCCAGGATGAGCAGCCTGAGGACTTAGCTTCTGAGTTCTTTTCTTAGTTTGAATCAACTCTTCTGTCCTCAGCTCGAGATCTTCTTGTCCCAGAGAGCAGTGGAGATGAGTGAGGAGGCTGACATCCTGTCTGTGAGCCAGTTTCAGTTGGCTCCCGCCATTCTACAGGGCCAGACCAAAGAAAAGATGGTCACCATGGTGTCCACACTGCAGGATCTGATTGGTCGGCTCACCAGTCTTCAAATGCAACATCTGTTTATGATTCTGGCCTCACCAAGGTCTGGCTAACCTGATGCTAGGCTCCATTATCTTGAGCTCTTCCCCTTATATTCCTCCTCTTCTTCCATGACCCCTTAAATCTAATCCCTGCATCCCATGACATCACCTCCTGAGGATAGAGGGGTTTGCGGGGGGGCAAGATAGGAGTGGTTTGTGTATACAGGCAGGAAGGATCTACTTCCCAAGTAGGAAGGGGGACCTAGAATGGGTATTCCTTACAAAACAAGGACTTAAGTATATGAGGGTGAGAGGCAATTAGGGAATTGGTTTGTGAGCCTCACCTGTCCAGCAGTTGGATGGAGATGCTCAAGGTGCACAGCTCTACCAATCCTTACTGAGTGCTCTGCACAGGTATGTGGACCGAGTAACAGAATTCCTCCAGCAAAAACTAAAACAGTCTCAGCTGCTGGCTTTGAAGAAAGAGCTGATGGTGCAGAAGCAGCAGGAGGCACTTCAGGAGCAGGCAGCGCTGGAGCCCAAGCTGGACCTGCTGTTGGAAAAGACCAAGGAGCTGCAGAAGCTGGTAAGATAGGACAGGCAGACCCCTCACATGGGAACCCCCCACCCTGTTTCTACAGAAGGAGGCATTGCACCTGCCTCTGCTTCCTGCCCACTTGGTACTGCTATCTTTTAGATTGAAGCTGACATCTCCAAGAGGTACAGCGGGCGCCCTGTGAACCTGATGGGAACCTCTGTCTGACGTTCTCCCTCTGTGTTCCTCCTGTCCATCTCCCCAGCCTCAGATGGAGGTGGGACTGCCAGGGCTGATGTTGTGAAGCCCTTCCCCTCAAGAAGCCAGGCAGGCTGGAGGACAGAGAGCCAGAGGAAGGAACCATCCCCTGGATGGGGACCTGGCACTCTGCAAGAAACTGTTTGGCTTGGCCCTGTGGCCTATCAGCCTGAACCACAGCTGCTGATTGTAGTTAGTTGAATTGGACTTAATAAAAGAGCAAAAGACTCTTGGTTTACTGCTGACGGTTACTTATATCACTTCATGTGTTCGTGATCCAGGTGGCCTCCCTGGGCCATCAGCTATCATATCGAGCCCCAGGCTAAGGGTTTTTCTCTTTTGCTTCTGGTAATAAAGGGGACCCCATTAATACTACAGATGGTTCAGCAAGGGGTTCTGAGAAGGCTTGGGCAGCTGGATTTCTGTCTCCATAACAGTGGGCCTGGGCTGTCCCACTCCGGCCAGCAGCCCGAAGGGAGCACTCAAGTGGCAGCCCTGTTGGAGCCAGAAAAGCTGTATTTTCCTCTTAATCACAGCTTACCTCCAGGCAGAGGGGAAATGTGGTTGGGGAGGAAGGTTCTGGTAAACAAGGTGGAGACAGGAGTTGTCACCTTCACTAGCTGCCTGTTCACTTCCTGCCCATAACTGCCAGCTCTGGGATTGGATAGAGCCCACCCCAGGATAGCACCCTTCTCCCAAGCCACCTACCCATCCCCATTTCCCAGGAAGGGTAGGGGCTGGGGGTGGCCAGCAATTCGATTTTAATTTCATAGCAGAGCAGTTGATTCATGACTCTTTGTCGCTGGCGTTGACTCCCGTAATGACTTTCCATCAAAATGAAAAGTGGAGTGACACCACTCATTATTCCTGCTGCTTGTTATCTCAGTTCTGGGGAGGGCCGCCCCCTCCCTGCTGCCTTTCAGCCGTCCGGGACAGTGAGTGATGGCCCCTATTAATCACCGACCCCGCGGACTCTGGCGGACACACGCTATCCAAAGGAGAGAGAGATAAGGCCGCATGAACTGCTCGAAGCCGCTCCTATCGATTAATGTCAGCCCACTGCTTTCCCCCAATCTTTGCCTGGTCACCTCCTTTTGGGGGAATTGGGGGTTGAAATAAGAAATCAGGAATTGAGAAAGGGAAGATACTAGTGTTGGAAAACTGTCCAGAATAGAAGGACATAAAGGAGCATGAGTGGTCTGTGTTTTGCTTGTGGCCATTCTGGAGACTCAGCCTGGGGCACAGTCTGCTGCCCATGATGGTCCCTTTCCCTCTGAGAGCATGCCTGCCACCTCCAGGCCTACCTGGTCAGCTGCCCACTCTCAGCCTCTCACAGCCATCAGCTCACTGAGGCATGCTACCCTTGCCAGCTCTAATGTCCCTGCCCAGTCACCAACTGTCACACAAACTCCGTTGCTTACAGGGCCAGCCGGAGCTGTAGGGAGAAACCCTAAGGATCATGTGACCCTGGAAGGCCAGGTTCAGACCTCAAAGCTCTTGCTTCTTCCCCACAGATGAGCACAGGGCCTGCCTTCCCTGCCCCACATCCGGCTAGCAGGGAATTGTACTGAGGTTCGGCCACATCTGCAGGAGGGGAAATGGGATTAGACAGAAGGGTTTCTCAGATTTTGGGCACTTTGGTAAGCAGTGTAGTTAGTGGACTGTTTTCAGAAGGGTTAGGCCCATTTTTTTTTTTTTTTTTTTTTTTTTATCTATTGAAATGAAGCCTCCCCCACTCCTAGGCTGAGGTAAGTTGTTTCCTTAAATCCTTTAACCTGATAATGCTGGGTTTATTCTCCAGAACCTTTAGTCCTCTTTGCCTTCTAGATCCCCACAACCCCCTGGCCAGGCCAAAAACACAGAAGTGGCCCACCTGGCTGGCTCACCCCATGTAAAGGCAGTTAACATGACTTTGGGAATAAATCCAAATCCCCTCAGCTTTACTCTGGTGCATTTAGGTTCCTACTCATTTTTTTCTCAGAATTGCCACAGGATCACCATAAGGGTTAATAAGCTGAGCTTTGACAGTTCTTGGAAGAGTGCCTGCTCGGGGGTACCCTCACAACGTGAACACTTTGTTTTGGATGATGGGACAAGCTGAGCATGGTAGCATACACCTGTAATCCCAGTGGCTTGGGAGGCTGAGGCAGGAGGATTGCAAGTTCAAAGCCAGCTTCAGCAACTGAAACTTGGCTGGTGGGACAGTGACAAGGCCTATCCTTCCTGGCATGATTTGCCCCCTTAGAAGGAAGAAGAGAAGCACTCTTGGATGAGCTTGAAGACCAGCTTCCTGGCAGTCAAGTTTCCAGTTGTAAGAAGAAGTTTGGAGAAAGAGGTAGTTCACAAGCTAAGATTATACCTTCCAGATTCTTAGTTTGAGGTGAATTCATTGCCAAGAGAACCCTATAGTTTCATGTTGACTCTTTCCCTACCTCTTTTTAGGGAGGATTTAGGGCAACGCCTCTCATGGCTTAGCTAGGATTCATCTCCCTACTCAGGCAAGAAGCAGAGCCAGCTTTTCCAAAATCCTCTCACCCTGCTAAATCCAGCCCACTAACTGCCTCTGCCCAAAGGAAATCTTTCTTCCTATATAGTGTACCCTGTCCTCTCAGAGTGTGGTTCTCTGTACAGACAACGAAAAGGATCTCTTTGCACTGCACCCTGCAGTGGATGACCATGAAAATGGATTGGTGTAGTGCTAAAGATTGTGCTGGGTTCTGGCCCGCTGAAGACTTGCCGAGAACACACAGACCCTGACACATCTAGAACTTGCGGCTGTGGCCAGTGCAGGGCCAGGGAATGATCTGCTCATTCAGACCAAACATCACCCATCCAAAGAATCCCCTGCTGACCTGGAACCAAGGACAAAAGAAAAGCACGCCCAGGCCTTCAGGAGCAGGAACTAGCCGCCTGGGCTGTGGTCCTGCTCCCTCATGTGCATCCCCCATTGCAGCGACTCCCCCCATGTTGCTTATGTTTCTCCCCTAGAAACTCAGATCCTACGGCTCTTCTCTGCCATTTTCTACACTCCTATCTGTTCTTCTACTAATGTGTATTTCATCTTTTAATTGCCACTTGCATATTCTTCTCCTCTCTCCTCTGCCTTACTTGCATGTACAAAAGCTAATAAAATAGGGAGCTGGGTTGTAGCTCAGTGGCAGAGCACTTGCCAAGTACCTGTGAGGTACTGGGTTCAATCCTCAGCACTGCATGAAAATAAATAAAGTGAAGGTATTGTGTCCATCTACAACTAACAAAACATTTTTTTAAGTAATAGGAAGACAGGCAGTGCAAAATAGTGATTATTAGCATATTCTAAGATCTGAGCTGCCTGGGTCAAATTCTGGCTCTTCTTTCTCCCTATGTGATCTGGCATTAGTCACTGGACCTCTCTGTGCCTCATTTCCTTCACCTATAAAGTAAGGACAAAGATACTACAGACTTCAGAGTGGGCAGCTATGGCGAGTGTGTGCAGGGGCTTCCTGGAAGGGCTGGGGTATGGTTTAGTGGTAGAGCGCTTGGCTGGCAATTGTGAGGCCCTGGGTTCCATCCCCAATACTGAAGGGGTGGGGGACACAGGGGTAGTGCTGGCATAGTAAGACACAAATAGTTATTGTGAGAGGGTGGCAGGTTGGAAAGATCCTGGACTTAGGCTGTCCCCCTTATCCCAACATCTCCCAAATAAAGCCATTATGATCCCCATGTACACTGTAGTTCTGGCATTTCCTATCTCCACCGGTTCCGTTAATAGCTTTCCGGTTTCTTTTGGCTCCCCTCCAACCTACCCTTCCCATTTGCTATAGGCCCTTTTGCCCTACTCATTTCCCTGCTTAGAAACTAATGCCCTCTTTGCTCCCCTAATTCCTTGTGTAGCAGGTCAACACTTGATAGCTGGATTTCTCTCTCTTCTCTATAGCCTCCTTCCCACCTAAGAGACCAGTCGCTCATGTAGCCCAAGGCCCCAACCCTTTTCCTGGCTCCCTGCAAGCCTTTCCCACTCAGCTCAGATGAGACCCAAATAGTTAGTGGACATTTCCAGAATTAATCCCTCTATCGTCATCAGCATTCCCAGACCCCCCAAGGGTGGGATACATGTCCTTAGGAGAGCTTTGTTGGTTGCATGATAAGAGCTATTGTATCCCCTTTGCAATCTCAAAGTTGACTTCTCTGAATTTCAGTTGTCTTAATGATCTCTCTTCAAGTGACTGTGACCTCTGAAATATTATATCAGGTGATTCACAGATTAGCAAAAAGGAAGAGTCCCACAAAGTGCTAGAAGTTTGGGGAGAACATTGGGGTTAAGTAGGCTTTTAAAATGGACTGATGGACTAAAATCCCTCCACCCTTCACCGACATCCAGGGAGAGCACCTTGCCTGAGGATCTTCTGGGCCCATCTCTCCTCTTTCCCTGTTTGTGGAGAACATTTCTAGGAAGGAAGGCAGAGGCCTAGGGTCACATCCTCTTGGCAAAGCAATGACGTCATTGCCTCACAGACACAGGGTTGCTACCAAAGCACTGGTGTACCAAAAGCTGCTCACGCTCACCTGCTGGGCTTTGAACAAGTTGCTGTGGCCCAGAAGTCTGGCCTGAGAGCTGCCTCCAGGCTGCCATCCTGCACGGCCCAGCAGGAGGGTGTCAAGGCTGCGGCAGGGCTGTGGCACCCCGGGGCACCAGCTGACCTGGATCCCCCTGTGTCCTCCAGATGCCCTTCCTCTCCAATGACTGGGACAATCGGGGCCTCTGAGTAAATTGGCCCTGAGTAAACTCTCCTTAGCCAGCCTGCTACCCTCTCTCATTCCCCAGGCTTCAAAGAAAACCAGTTTGAATATTTAAACTTCTCCTGTGTGTCTAATAAAAAGTTCTGCACTATTTAACGCCCCAGCTATCCATTACTGTCGGGAGCTGCCCTCTCCCTCCCAGTGTCCCCCTCCCTCCCTGTCGCCCAAACCGTGGCGCAAGGCAAAGCCATTTGTCAAACCGCTCCTGCCGCCGGCTGCGCTTGGCTGTGTCTGAAAGGACAAGCCGCCCCACAGGGGAAGGTGGGAATGAATAAAGGGGCTATGCAAATTGCTGCTTAATCTGCAGAGAAACACCCACGCTTTGGGGAGACGCTCATTACTTCTTTTAACTGTGATTAACGGGCAAATTAAACCCAAGCCCTTAACTCTCTCCTGGCATAGGACTTGAACGCAGAGCCCTGGGCTGGGGGGAGATGGAGGGGCGCCTCATCTGTAGTG